GACATACCGTGAATTACGATACATGATCAAAGGCTCCCAAGCCGGCAAAGCCCCATGACCAGATGACGAAACGATGGATTTATTGAGAGCAGCCCCAGAGCACGTTGTTGATCCGCTCCTGCCAGTCTTACACGAATATCAACGTGAGTTCCAGGGAGCCACTTGGCTTCGAGGGTGGTTGGCAGGTGGATCTCTTCAAGTCTGGCAGCGCGGCCCCGCTCACTAATTACAGGGCATCATGCTTCGCACGAATACAGCCAAGATGCACCGCGCGTTTCTCCGCACCCGTACCATAGAAGCGTCCAATCTGTTGATCAACCAGTTCCAAATGGGAGGATTGGCAATGAAAGGTACAGACATAGCTTCCTTGATAGTTACGTCAGCCGCTGCTGCAACGAGGCAGAGAGGTCACACCATGCTCATGTTTTTCACATACCTCAAATCAGCCTTCTATTCTGTTGTGAAGGGCTTTCTATCAAGGCACGCTCAGAGCACGGGCCAACTGGAGCAGGTACTGGACGCCATGGAGATCCCGTTGGCACTGCAGCCGCTTTGTGATAGTTTGTTGCGGCTCCTGCACTGCTCGACCTGGTCGGCAACCCGCACCTGCTTGCTAGTACAGTTGACGCGCTTACCAACACATGGTTCCAGGTCAAAGGGGCCAGACAAGGTGTGCAGCCATCGGGAGGTACCACACCTGGAATGCCTCTCGCTGATTATTTGTGCAGTATTGCCTTCTCTCCGATCCAGTGTAGCATCAACGATAAGCTGAGCAAGTTGAGCCTCCTGCAGACCTTTGAGGTACCCCACCGGAGCCCCAAGGCCGTGTTCCAGATTGACCATCAGGAGGGCACCGAACAACTCTGGGGCCCCTCGTACGTCGGCGACATCGTGTCCATAGTTGAATTTACCTGGGCCACTAATTGGCAAGAGGTTGCTAAATAAGTACCCACAATAGTCCACGAAGAGGCCGCGTCGAGGGGATTTGCAGTAAACTGCAAACAGGGAAAGTCCGAGCTCCTCCCGATGTTCTCGGAAAAGGGTCACGCAAAGCTTGTCTTGACTTTTCGCGCAGGCATGAAGAAGGGATCCAGGCCGGGGCCTATGGGATCACGCTCGCACTTACAGCTGAATGTCTGTGGGGCCCGAGGTTGCTCATCGTTGTTATCAAGCCCAGAGGCCCCCTTGGAGTGCTAAAGCGTATTGTCTTCAATAACAACGCTCTAGATGAAAGCCGCAAGTTGACGTCGCGCACAAGTGATGTACACTGCACATCTTGCGCAGCGCGCGTGCGTGGGCTGCGTTGACGAAGCTCCAGAATCAAAGAATCGAGGCGCACTCTTGGCACCAGTCAGATATGCCACTGGGTGTAAATTTGATGATCGAGTGGCCCAGAACGTGTCTGCGCACAAGCTTCCGTTGCACATGCGACAGCTACCACATGAAGGAGTGATTCGCATGAGGAGGCTTCGCATGCTGCTGCATCTTCTTAACCCCTGGCCCCTGTTGTTTTCGTTCTCTCCGACAGTGTATGTTACGTGCCAGGCACATGGGCGCAGCTACTCTTGCTGGATCTTGAACGGCTTGCTGCCAATGTCTCTCCCTAAGCTCATGGGGCCGCTTGGCCCGCCTCGCACATGGGTTTTGCTTGGGCGTGAGAGAGGATTTTTGGTTGAAAGGGATTTGTAGGCAAGCTGAGCGCGACCTCCTGTTCGCAGCCAACATGGATATGCAGCGCAGCGCGTGGGCAGATGTCCTCGGGCATGTGTGCGCCATGGTCGGCCAGCATCCGGCTTCCTCCGTCGTTCCCCACCTCATGCATGGGCCATGCCGTGAGCGCAATGCAGTTCTCAAGACCAAGAGTTCGTGGCCAGTGCACTTAACGAACTGCCATCCACAGCTAGAGTTTGCTGGTCAGTGCACCACCGGTTCAGTTTGCCAATCATGCTGCTTTGAATTTCACACGATGTCCAGACTTCTTAGGCACCTCCGACATGAAGCTTCGCATTTTTTCGCCAATATAGTTGCAGTGCTTGCCTCCGTGCCTCACGCGCGCTTGCAAGAAGTGGAAGAGGGGGGTGCCATTTTCACCCGCAGCTTGCGTCGAGCAGGTTACTGCGTTGAAGCGGCCACGCTGCCTCCGTTGCCACGGGCTGGACCTGGCTTTAAAAACGCTGCTCGCGTGCTTGGTCTCCCGAAGACCGTGCCGAGGGCTTCGCGTCGGCGCGTCCCCTTTGCAGCGGAGGCCAACAGAGTCGATGTACCTGCGACGCCATCAGTTATCCGCTCGTGCGTTCTTTGTGTCACGTCTACGTCACGTTATGTAGGTGACTGCCAGTGTTTATGCGACGAGCTTGCGCAGTGCGAATCCTTGGATATGTGTGTGCTCGCTGTCCCTGTGCAGAGATTGACGCGGCATGCATTTATATCGCACCTGCTTGAGCTCATACATTCTAAAGTAATCGTGGCAGTGGTTGGGTTCATTCGGTGTCGAACGTGGGATTATCGTTGGATGCCGCAGTGCAAGTCTCAGACCCACGCGCTCGCAGTTGAATCCATGGGGCCTAGTCGGACTGCCACCTCGTGCCGCCGATGCTGTATCATGCTCCAACGTGCTTTGTCAGTTCACGTGGGCAGCGGTTGCAGCAGCGAAGGCAGTGGAGGTACCAGCCCTCGTGATTGCCAATTGTCAAGCAAGCTCGCCATATTGCCCTTCCATGTGGGGCATGCCGGAGGTCCCATGGATAACTGAGCATGCTCCCACGCGTGATTTTATATTGTCAGATACTGATTTCTCAGATATTCAGTTGTGTGCTTCCTCTCTTGAATTGCCATCCGTGTGCCTCGATGATGTTGCAGCGTTGCATGAGTGCGAACTTGCACCGACATGGTCTTGGCCTAAAGCGTTGGCACGTCATGTTGCGAGAGGTGTTTGCAGGGCCATATCTGGATCGGCCTCGAGACAAGCGAGTCCAATGTGTGTGCCCGAAGCAAGGGTACAATGCTACCATGCCTTATTTGACCCATATGGTTCGTGCGGGGAGAGGGACATGCTGGGCTAGGCCCCGCGCCCCCTTTGCCCCGTCTAGTTGCATGTGTTGTACATCGCAGACATCATGTCCGCAGAAGTGGCCGCAGGAGGAGGAGGAGGAGGTGGAGGGGGAGGATCAGGGGGAAGGGGAGGAGGAGGAGGGGGGGGGAAGGTGGATGAAGGGGGAGGAAGAATGAGGTGAGTGATGGGCAAGGAGGGAGTCGATTGAGCAACCTTCCCTGTACTTCCACAGTGCGCCACGGAACCGTTCGACCGCTTGAATCGTCCACGCGGGCGGGGTGTGAGGAGTCGTGGTGGGCTGGGCCATAGATGGGGAGGTGTAGGAGCTGGGGGGGAAGGCGGAGGGGCGAGTCGAGTCGGACTGGGGCCCCGATGTCAGCGAGCAAGGCTTCTACGACTGCCTTCTGCCAGCCTGTCGCTGGTGATCTCGCCCCGCGGCGCGCGCTGTTATGGGGAATCTGAGGGGAATACCTTCTGGCCTTTCCTTCTTCCGCCCACTCCAGGCTAACGTGTATTACGCCGTGGCTCCAGGAGGCTTGGAGCGGGCCGTGAAGGTGTACAAGACTTCCATTCTGGTCTTCAAGGAACGCCGCGCTTCCCAGTATGAAGACAGCAGTCACATGCACACATGCATAAATGCGCATGCCTTTGCCTGCCAGATGAGGTACACATGAATGCTTTGCGTTGTTTGGCAGAATCCGCTTCCCAAGTGGTTCGGCAAGCCAGCCCAGCACATGGGGAGCGAGAGATGAGCCGTGCAAAGAACAGTGCAGAACACGTGCACGGACTTTGCTGGCGCCGATCGCTTGGGGGAGGGTGCTGATAGTGCACGGTCGTGGACGGAAGAGGGCCATCCTTGAAGGGTCAACTCTTATGTGTCTGACAATCACACGACAACAATCAGTAAAGGGAGTTGAATGGGCAGCGGCAAGTATGGACGCGCAGAGAGCAGGTGTGTCTCGAGACAGCATCGAGTTGGACGATGTGGCCCAAAACCACGACCCGATTTGGTAAACTTGCTGTGTGCTGCCCAGAAGAGCGCTGACGTCAGACTTCCGAGGCCAACATAAACGTAAGACTATGCCATCCTCAAGCGTTGCTGGGGGATGTGGTGAGGTGAGAGATCACGAGCTGACTAGGTAGGTGACGCAGCGCAGAGTTGCTGAGGCGCTGGTTGAGAACAGACGAAGCCGCAATGCCATACACGCCGTGGCCTGTTTTGTGGAGCCTGCGGACGCTTGTTTTTATTTGGCCTGTTAAGGGAGGGCCGTCCAGCACGAACCTTTCGGCGACGCGCTTAGGGAGGAACCCAGAAGGGGCGGGCCTTCTCAGAAGGCACAGAAGGAATCAGGCTTTCTGAGAAGTCTTCCAAGTCCTCTCCGGAGCCACAGGCGGATTCTCAGAAGGCTGGAGGGCTTTGAGAGGCTCCGTCGCCTTCGAGAAACCCCGCGCCTTCCTCACCTCCCCCGTCGATGCGTCGTCGCCGAGCCTCCTACTGAGGTCGCTCGCTAGCGGCAGCACCGAAGCGGTCAGGGGGCAGGTCCTGAACGGAAGGGCTGTCCCGGCCGCGCTGCGTTAGGTCTCAGTCTCGCTGAGAGGCCTCTGGAGGACGACCCCGTTCTGCGAACCTGCGATATCCATGCAGGCCCAGACTTTCGACGTCTTGTTTTTTTTTTTTTTCCTCGCAGCGGGGACTCCCAGGGGTGGCGACACGTTCTTCGGGATCAGTTTTTCATCCCAAGGAATTTTTGATACCCCTGGTGCCTGGTGAGGGCCACAGGAGGGGGAAAACTGAAACCAGAAGCTCTCCGTCGTGTTTTTGCTCGACGCGAGGGCGTGGGGGTCCACACATCTCGGAGCCATACAGTGGTGCTAGGACCAGAAGGGGGGTTTAGAGGAAACTCGCTTTGGATGGCCCCTGGAAAATAGAAGCGTAAGTCTCCAGATGGGGTCGCTCCCTAACCCCACCTTTGGCTTCACTCAGAGTCCATTTCGATCCAATCGATCTGGTTCGATATAGCGATTCCAGCCGGCCCGATCCGATCCGATTCTGGCTTTCGGATGATCCGCCGTCGGTCCCCCCCTTCGCTGGCGTCCAGACGCGGCCAGCTAGATCGGCCCACGAATTCGGGGTTTCTACCTCTCCGTTAGCGCTGCCATGGCCGCAGGCTTCTGGGGCAGGGAGGGGGCAGACCCTCGCGATTCCGGTGCAGAGGATCGAGGCCCGAGATTTTTTGGGCCCTTCTGTTCGCCATCGTTGGCCGAGCACAGGGATTCCCAGACGGGCAACAATCATGTTGCGCTCAGTTTTCGGGGACAGAACGCATCTGAGAGTGTTGTTCTGGCATACAGATCACGCCAATCACCGGCTTTCCGTCCTGCCAGACCCTCGGAACGCGCAGGAATCAGGGCGAATCTGCTCTTCTCGTATTAGCTGTCTTCCCCCTCCGTTACCACCTTCCTCCTCCCCATCCCCCTTTTCTTCGTCCACGATCTCGACCTCAACCTCCCTCTTCATCCCCCTCCTCGTCCTCGTCCCTGCTTCTGCGGCTCCTTTCTTCCTCCTCTATTTCCCTCCCCCTTGCCCTTTTGATCCTCCTCCCACTCCGCGTATGCGAATTGGATGTGGATAGCTATGATGATGAGGCTGGTGATTCTGATGATGCTGATGATGACGATGCTGATGCTGCTGCTGCTGCTGCTGATGACGACGATGATGATGATGATGATGATGATGATGATGATGATGATGATGCTGACGATGCTGTTGCTGCTGCTGCTTCTGATGATGAGGATGATGATGATGCTGAGGATAGGATGATGATGATGATGGTGGTGGTGGTGATGATGATGATGATGATGATGATAATGCTGCTGATGATGATGATGCTGATGCTGATGCTGATGCTGATGATGATGACGATGATGATGCTGATGCTGATGCTGATGCTGATGCTGATGCTGATGCTGATGCTGATGCTGATGCTGCTGATGATGATGATGATGACGATGATGATTGATGATGATGATGATGATGATGATGATGATGATGATGATGATGATGATGATGATGATGATGATGATGATGATGATGATGATGATGATGATGATGATGATGATGATGATGATGATGATGATGATGATGATGATGATGATGATGATGATGATGATGCTGATGATGATGATGATGATGATGATGATGAGAAGAGAGAGGGAGGAGGAGGATGAAGAGGATGATGAGGAGCATGAGCAGGAGGAGGAGGATACTGCAGGGGGCTGGATTCATGTTGTCGTTGCTGCGCACCCCTCAGCATAGCACTGCGTAAGTAGACCGTTGGCTTTAGTCAGGATGTGTAGGGGGTCGGAGGTGCATGAGCCTTGGTTATTTACCTCCTGTGCGCTGCATACGGGAAGCCTTGGTTTCAGGCAGGGCAGGCCAAGCAAACGTGGCGGAGGCCGTACGAGAGAAGGATCGATTCTAGCAACGACGGAAAGTGGACGGTAGCACAGAGACGCGTGAGAAGATAGCACGGCACGTTACGGCGATGGAAAAACGGCAACGGCGTAGGAGGAACGACGAAGGCAGAGCGTTCAGTGGCGACGGTTTCGAAGGAACAGCCAGTGCAGCTGGGAAGGACCGTGCAGGAAGAGGATCGGGAAGGGAAGCCTTGGCCTCCTCATCCTTCAAGTCGTCGTCCTCCTATTCTCCTGTCATCGTCCTTCTATCCGTTCTCGTCCTTCCTGCTCCACCTCCTCCTCTTCCTCCTCTACCATTCCCCTCTCCTCCTCTTCCCCCTCCCCGTCCTGGTCCTCCCAAACCTCCTGCCTCCAACGGTTTGCTCAATCAGGGAGGGCTAGCGTGGCAAGAGCCATGGTCTCCAGTGGTAGTTTCCGAAAACGGGAGAAGACTTGGGCTGAGGAGCGAGAGGTCCACATTGCAAACAATGAGGAACGACACCTCTTGCACATAAGCAGGAAAGCGGCCAGCAAAGATAATAGTCGGGGAGACCTAGGACTCGTCCTTGCCCGAGCTCGTGTTTTTTGCCACCTTATGATGGTCCTGGCGAGGCTTTTGGCGGTCCAGTTCAGGTGAGAAGTTTCATGCTTGCGGCGAGAGCTCGCGCCGAATTTCAGATCGGATCCCGCCCCTTTCAGGCGGCCTAGTCGGGCCTCCTGCTCCTCCTCCTCCTCCTCCTCCTCCTCCTCCTCCTCCTCCTCCTCCTCCTCTCCCTCCTCCCTCCTCCCTCATCCCTCCCTCCTCCCTCCTCCCTCCTTTCTCCTCCCTGTTCCTCATCGTCCACGTGGGGGATGGGGATCGGTCAAACGATGCTCCGAAACAGGGGACTCACCGGCCGTGCAGACCTGCGGGCGGGGACGTGCCAGCGCGGTGCTCGCGTCCCGCGAGGACCGCGCGCGCTACGTCGAGGGCGAGTACCGCTTTCGGCACGGCGGGCTGCCGCTCCGATCCGCCCGCGGTCTGCACAGCAGCAGGACGCGTGTCTACCACCGAGCGCGTCCCACTGCTCGCAAAGTGCCTGCTCGCAAGCGTCCGAACAGAAAACGTGTCTGCTTCGATGTCATGTATCGGAGGTCCCCCGCGGCGGATCCAGGCCATTTGCGAGCGGTTACTTTGCGAGTAGTGGAATGCGCTCGTCCAGTCTAGGCCTCCCAGATGGGGTCAGAGCAGATTCAGCTCTGAGCACAGGGGGCACGTCAGAGGGGGCGGGCCTTCTCAGAAGTCTCGGAAGGTCTCGGGCCTTCGAGAGGCTTTCCCAGCCTCCCCCCAAGACACAGAACACTTCTCAGAAGGCGCGAGGGCTTCTGAGAAGTCCCGCCGCCATTTGAGCAGGCCTTCTCCCTCCGACTTCTCCCCCGGCCTAACCGCCAGTGAGATTGGAGGATTGCGCTGCATCGCCGATGCATTGACGATGTGTCCCGATGTAGAGCCCGATCCCCCCGCGCTGGCGTCGCCGATGCATCGCCGATGCGGCGCGATCGTCCGACCCCATCTGCTCCGACCCCATCTAGGAAGCTTCTAGTGTAAGACTCTCGGAGGATGGTCCAGTCGAGACACTGGCAGCCCTCCTGGGCGTTTTCCGTCCTCTCTGGGCGTCTTGGAGGCTTCTCGTCGCCCCCGCTGGGCCTGCGCCGAAGAGCGGGTCAGGATGGACCCCGGGAGGGCCTCGCGGGCAGACTTCGAGCGGATTTGGGCCGAGTAGGAGAGCCGCCGTTGTCTCAAGTGGCCTTCCGAGACTCGGGTCTCGGCGCACTGTTGACGGTCTTTGCGGGGAGTCGCTCACACCAGAACAAGTGGTTCGAGGGCAGCGGGGTGGAGGGGGCAGGAGGAGGAGGAGCAGGAGGAGGATCATGATGATGAGGAGGAGGAGGAGGAGGAGGAGGAGGTTCAGGACGAGGAGGAGGAGGACGAGGAGGAGGAGGATGAGCACGATGCGGTCAGGCACCGTGTAAGCCGCTCTTTTGGTCAGGGCGGGCAGCGTGTGCGCGCACGTTCGCTCGAGTGCACGCGAAGGGGGTCGACTGCGCCGCTCTGACCGCTGGTGAGAGTGGTCGTTGTTCACCATCCAATGCCACCGTCACTCGGGGGAGCAGGGCGGGGGTGGTGGCGCCCATTCCGCGGGCCTCCCGTCCACCGCGGTTGGCGTCCACGCGTACTCGCGTTGCGGGCAAGCAACTCCTGGAGCGCAAGCGGGATCCTTCGTCGTGCACGGGGCCCGGGCGAGGTCGCCCCTTAGCGGCGTGGCTGCCGACTTGAGCAGAAGCAGGCAAGCAAGCAAGCAAGCAATCGTTAGAGCGATGTGGCTCCGCACGTGCGTATCTGCGTAAGCGGGGAAGGGAGCGTCGGAAGTAAGACGGAGATTCCCCGACTGGGCAATCGATCTTTGTTTCGCTGCGTGCTGTGCATGCGGGTGGAGCGAAGCTGCGCGTGGGCGCGAGAGACGAAGCCCTTGCCAGGGCCAAGTCAGGCTAGCCTGTCGCGCCCCTGCGTGTGAGGCGCGCTGCCCCTGCATGGTCCCGGGGTTCTCCGCGTTGTTTTCCCGTGGGCGTCTGCGGTTGTCCCGTGGTTGTGTCGTAGTTGTTTCGTCGATCGTGTGCTCAGGTGGCATTTGCCTTGCCGTGCTGTCTGATATACGCACACTTATCGAAGACGCCTACGGCGAATCACCGCCGCCCCCTGCCTTTTTGGAAGCGCCTATGTGGCCGAAGGTTGTGGCCAGAGGCCTGCCAAGCTATCGGACCATGTGTTCCCCGAGTCGGTTTGGAAAGCCTTCGGGGAACACGTGGGCATCTTGAAGGTCATCTTGGCCGTCTGGAGGCCATTCTGACCCTTTCGGGCCTTCGGAGGACGTCTTGGAGGGCTCTTGGGCCGTCTTGGAGGCTATCTTGAGCGTCTTGGAGACCTCTTGGGCCGTCTTGGGGGCCTCTTGGGGCCGTGTCTTGGGCCTTTTGGGCGATCTTTGTGGGCACTTGGGCCGTCCCTGGCCGTCGGAAGGCAGAAATAAATGCACATGCCGCAATCCTTCAAACTCCCATGGGAAATCAATGATTTTGGCCTTTTCGGGCCTTCCTGGAGGCCCTCTTGGAGGCCTCTTGGGCCGTCTTGGGCCATCTTAGGGCCATGTTCGGCCATCTTGGTGGGCTCCTGGTCCGCCTGGGGGGCCGACTTGGGGCCCTCTATGGGCCGACTTGGGGCCCTCTTGGAATCCTCCAGGGCCGTCTTGGAGGCCATCTTGTGCGTCTTAAAGGCCTCCTGTGCCGTCTTGGGGGTCTCTTGGGGCCGTCTTGGGGCCCTCTTGGGCCGTTCTGGGGCCATCTTGGAGGCCTCTTTGGCGATCTTTCGGCGATCTTTGGGGGCTCTTGGGCCGTCTCGGGCCGTCGGAAGGCCGAAAAGAAGCAAATGCCCAAATCCGTCAAACACCTTCCTTCCTGGAGGCCTTCTTTGGGCCGTCTTGGGCCAGCTTTGAGCCAACTTCGGCCATCTTGGTGGGTTCCTGGCACGTCTGACGCCGTCGGGAGCCGTCTTGGGGGCCTTTCTGGGCCGACTTGGGGCCCTCTTGGGGCGCTTCGGGGCCGTCTTGGAGGCCATCTTGGGCGTCTTGGAGGCCATCTTGGGCGTGTTGGAGGCCTCTTGGGCCGTCTTGGGGCCCTCTTGGAGCCGTCTTGGAGGCCACTTGGGCCGTCATGGGGCCCTCTTGGGGGCCTCTTGAGAGATCTTGGGGGCCTCTTGGGCCGTCTTGAGCCGTCGGAATACCGAGAAGAAGCAAATCCCAAATTCCTTCAAAAACCTGCGGCAAATCAATGATTTTCGCCTCTTCGGGCCCTCCTGGAGGACCTCTTGGAGGCCTCTTGGGCCGTCTTGGAGGCCTTTCGGGGGCCTCTTGGGCCGTCTTGGGCCGTCTTGGACTCTCGTGGGCCGTCTTGGAGGCCGTCTTGGACCATCTTGGGCGGACTTGGAGCCATCTTGGATTGGAGGCCATCTTGGGCCATCTTGGCCATCTTGGACGCCATCTTGAGCCGTCTTGGAGGATTTTTGGGGGAATTGAGCTCCTGGGAGATCCTCCCGGGACCCCGGCGGGACGGGCCGAAGCGCCAGGGGGAGTTCTTTTGGAAAAAGAACCAAAACCAAAACCGAAAGGATCCAGCACGCCAGGCACCCCTGCGATGAATCGACAGGGGGCGGCGGATCGAAGACGCCTACGGCGAATCACCGCCGCCCCCTGCCTTCTTGGAAGCGCCTATGTGGCCGAACGTTGAGGCCAGACCTGCCAAGCCATTGGACCATGTGTTCCCCGAATCGGTTTGGAAAGCCTTCGGGGAACACGTGGGCATTTTGAAGGTCATCTTGGCCGTCTTGGAGGCCTCTTGGGCGATCTTTCGGCGATCTTTGGGGGCTCTTGGGCCGTCTCGGGCCATCGGAAGGCCGAAAAGAAGGAAATGTCAAAATCCGTCAAAAACATAGGGAACATCAATGTTTTTGGCGTCTTCTGGCCTTCCTGGAGGCCCTCTTGGGGGCCTCTTGGGCCGTCCTTGGGCCAGCTTCGAGCCAGCTTCGGCCATCTTGGTGGGTTCCTGGCACGTCTGAGACCGTCGGGAGCCGTCTTGGGGGCCTTTCTGGGCCAACGGGGGACCCTCTTGGGGCGCTTCGGGGCCGTCTTGGATGCCATCTTGGGCGTTGGAGGCCATCTTGGGCGTGTTGGAGGCCTCTTGGGCCGTCTTGGGGCCCTCCTGGGGCCCTCGTGGAGGCCACTTGGGCCGTCATGGGGCCCTCTTGGGGCCTCTTGAGAGATCTTGGGGGCCTCTTGGGCCGTCTTGAGCCGTCGGAATGCCGAGAAGAAGCAACTTCCAAAATCCTTCAAAAGCCTAAGGAAAATCAATGATTTTGGCCTCTTCGGGCCTTCCTGGAGGATCTCTTGGAGGCCTCTTGGGGCCGTCTGGGAGGCCTCTTGCGGGCCTCTTGGACCGTCTTGGGCTGTCTTGGACTCTCGTGGGCCGTCTTGGAGGCCGTCTTGGACCATCTTGGGCGGACTTGGAGGCCATCTTGGGCCATCTTCGCGATTTTTCGAGAATTTTTTGTGGACTTTGCGGTCCTGGGCAATCCTCCTGGGACCCCGGCGGGACGGGCCGAAACCCATTGGGAGAGTTCTTTTGGGAAAAGAACAATCGACAGGGGTCGGCGGATGACGGGAAGCGCCTCCGGCGTGCACCGTTGGTTCTGGGGCTTCATTTTCTCTAACTAAGGGCCACCGATTCCATCCCGGACCTCGCTGGCGGATGACGGGAAGCGCCTCCGGCGTGCACCGTTGGTTCTGGGGCTCAATTTTCTCTAACGAAGGGGTGAGCACCGTAGACGCCTCAGGAGCACGGCTGACCACACAGGAGCACGGCAGCCTGGGCCGGTTCCGGCGCCGGCCGGCGCCGGAAAATTGAATTCCGAGGCGGTGCCGAAAAAAGGCCACTCCAAGACATATTTTTCTTTCGAAAATATTGATTTTCTGCTCCCGGCGCCCGGGAACCCCTTCCGGGCCGCTTCTGGCACCCGGGCCGGCGCTCGAGCCAAACGCCCGGGCCAGCACCCGGGCCAGCGCCCGGGCCGGTTCCGGCGCCGGCCGGCGCCGGAAAATTGAATTCCGAGGCGGTGCCGAAAAAAGGCCACTCCAAGACATATTTTTCTTTCGAAAATATTGATTTTCTGCTCCCGGCGCCCGGGAACCCCTTCCGGGCCGCTTCCGGCACCCGGGCCGGCGCTCGAGCCGAACGCCTGGGCCAGCACCCGGGCCAGCGCCCGGGCCGGTTCCGGCGCCGGCCGGCGCCGGAAAATTGAATTCCGAGGCGGTGCGGAAAAAAGGCCACTCCAAGACATATTTTTCTTTCGAAAATATTGATTTTCTGCTCCCGGCGCCCTGGAACCCCTTCCGGGCCGATTCCGGCA